AGTAAGAAGAGAAATCGAGAACAGATAAATGCTGGACAATCGTAGTAAAATGTCGAAACTTTCATTTATTAAGATTTTCTATGCAGTGCTAAAGATATTCTGGGAATTCAAGAGAGGAGTAATCTTCAATCTTGTTTAGAAAAATGTGAAGAGTATTATATAGACAATAATATCTAAACTTCACATTTATTCTATCATCTAATCAACGTGTAAATTCAAAAAATTATATTATTGTTATGTATTAGTGGTAAACTGTAAAATTAATCCTTCAAATTATGAATTTAAGTACATGAGAGAAGTATTGTACCGCATACATCTTAAGTTGTACTGTGCTCTATGTATATATTAAGAACCATATACTATCGCTATGAAGCTAGTTTAATACAGAAGCGGCTGAGCTATCATGAGAAATGTAGTTATTTTCAATTAACAATCAGTATACAATTTCTTCGGTTGTATATTCGACTTCGTTACGAAGTTATTGTGATGAAAACCTCTCATTTCTAATCGTCACTTTTGATGTTTTTAATTCAGCGGAGAAAGCAATTCTACTATAAATTCAGACATATGTACTGTACATTGTGGAAACATCGGATAAAGTTAGTGGCGATAAGTTATTACTCTATTACAGGAGCGTATACAAATATTATTCATTTCTATTAGAAATAGACGCAATTTACAATCAATGATGAGTCCATGTTAATTCTTAGCAACAAAACTTCCTTGATCACCAATCGTAGTGCTAATTTTATCATCTGTTATGAGAGCACATATTTTGAATATTAATCAATCGAAATCATACGATGTGACATGTGTACTGTACTTTGACCGATTGAATAATTTCGACTTGGAATGATAGTAAGCACTACACCTATATCAATCTCTTAACAGCCATTTCTACCACCAGCAGATAGATATCATAACTTATAGCTATTTATCTGTATGGGAAGCGTTTCCACAAATTTGGAAAACATCCAATTATACAAATATCAGAATTATTATTGTTATTATTGATAACACCTAAATTGGATGACAAATATCTAATTTATTTACGTTCTTGTAATCGACTGAATGATTATAGTTTTACGTTGGATAGATTTAACTGAATCACCGCAATATCGATAGTCTCTATTGGAAATAGTTCAAATTTTATTTTGCGATGGCTATCATTATAAAATTCATATCAGGCTTTGTATTTCTATTAACACTAACTATAATATAAAAGTAGAATGAAATTATTCATTATCACCCATTGCTAAGTACACCCTTTCCAGCTGTTTAACGATACATTCATCATTGCCCTTAGGACTTTGGAAATAGCCAAACTAATTCGGTGTAATTGACTAGCTAGGGGACTACCTACCACATCTTGAAATAAAGGAGTGGGCATGGCTTATCATGATTGATTATAAGTAATTTCAAGTTGATATAGAAGTAGAAAAAAGTATCCAAGACTCTTGGACATTGATGAATCTGACATATATATTAACAGGTAGTTTCCTCATTTACTGCCAGTACTACATACTATATACGACTAAGATTAATTTTTAACTGTACTTCTAACTGTTGTCTCCTTCATGTTTACGTTATGATACATTATTACTCTAGAAAAAATAGTGCTAAGACATAGACCTATCGTAATTGATTAATTTCTTGCACCTTGCGATTGTATTGATGTTTTAATCACCGTAGATACGGCCCGAGTAAGATTCTAATAAATCAGTTGAAAACAGCACCGGTATCATTCATTAATTATGTTTTCATTGCTGTAAATGAATAAAATATTCATAATTGAATTAATTTAATTTCTAAGGCCGAATTAAAGTCAATCCTTGACGATTTTATCAAGCAATCTATAATGTAGAGAAATAAAAAGATGATAATAAAATACCCTAATTTATCCGGTTATACAATCAACTCTGTTATTCCATGATAAGTCAATCTGTAATAATTATAACTGATCATCGAGAAAGCCAACATATTGCAATTAATCAACTTAATATAATTTCTTTCTCAATATCATCTTATGATACTACACTAGAAGAAGTAGTGGAGCACCGTTACTGGTAATTAAGTTCCCTCAAATAGAATTGATCGGAAAATCAACATTACACGGCAATTACTACAATCTAGCCGTATATAGATAGGTACATCGATGAAAACCAAATCATTTTGTACTGTAGTTAGAATGCTTGGTTTTATCTTATCCATAATTGCCATTATTGGTATTGCTATAGAAATT